CCTCACCATCGTTATCACCAACATTATTATTAATTTCAAACCTTACCAGAACCAGTAATAAAAATCAACAATATTTCATCACTCAAAAAACTACCTTCATGAATCACGCATCCTACATCCTTGTACAAGCGATGTCACTCATACAACACCATCATGGACCACATACCTGCCTCATTTTGACCGTCGATGTAGTTGAAGAGCCTGTTGAAGAGCCCGCTGTCGGATCCGCTTTGGAAGGTCGACACCCACTTCCTTGCCGGATACACGCGCTCCTCGTAAGACTGAAAGCATCAGGGTTTGGCTTTTTTATTGATGTTGAAGTCTTTTGGGGATGAGGACCATATAGGATGAATACTATGATGATAATGATGATAACAAAGATGACTACAATGATATCAATAATAACAATAATATTAACTATAACAATTAACAAGCAACCAACTTACATCTGCAGAACTGGTTACGTTGTAAGGTGGCATTTCGATCCCCAGTCCAAGCTGGCAGACCTGTAGGAAATATAGTGTTATGTATTTGCAGCAGTCGAGGAGTATATCTAGTTATGCTTGGGGTATGTATCGTTGCATTGATAAATTCTGATATGACAATCGATACACACACACACACACACACACATATATATGTGTGTGTGTGTGTGCGCGCGTTTGTGTGTGTGTGTGTGTATGTGTGTGTGTGTGTGTGTGTGCATATATTAGTAAATACACACAAAATGTATATGTATATATACATATATACACATATATAATATACATATTTATTTGTATACACACACACAACACACAGACACACACCACACACAACACACACACACACACACACACACACACACACACACACACACACACACAATATCACACACATGACTATATATATATATATATATATATATATATATATATATTAGTATATATAAATCATACACCACACACACACACATATAACTATATATAGATATATTATATATATAATACTATATATATATATATATATTATTATATATATTATATATATATAAGTTGCTGCTGTGCTTCTTGCTTCGTGGCGCTTCAGAATTCATCCTGCGCGCGCAGAGTCGAGACGTTGATACGAGAGTGAGCCAATAAAAAAAGTTCTATAAAAACAAAGAAAGAAAGAAAGAAAGAAAAAAAAACACACAAAGATAAATATATATGGTGGAATATTGCCTTGAAGTGATAGTCTTATATCGATTATATCACACGTTGGGGATTAGTGTTCACTGTGAACAACCTGTAACTATCTACGTGGCGAAAGTAATACGTTCTGTACCGTAGTTCAGAATATATATTTCCTGAACTCTCGGACAAATATTATGGCCTGTGTTCTCCAGCTGAGATACACTGCGATAATATTTCCTAAACTCTGGCAATATTATTGAGCCTGGACGAACTGATGGATTTTGTAAGGTTTTGATCACTTTTGTCGCCTTTTCATTCATTAATGTAAATTTTCGACTTCGATATTGATCATGATAAAAGTAACGATAGTTATGGTAAAGATAATGACAATGATAATGAAAATGATAATAGTGATTATGATAAAATAGTAATAATAATGATGATAAAAATGATAATGGTAGTAGCAATAAGTAGGATAAAATGAAAAGATTAATAATGATAATGAAAGTAATCATCACAATAATGATAATAATAATTATAACAATAACAAAAACGACAACAATAACAATGATAATAACAATGATGATAATAACAATGATGAGAATGATAATAATGATGATGATGATGATGATAATGATACAAACGATAAAGATGATAGCAATAGTAATGATAATAATAATGATAATGATGAGAATAACAACAACGGTGATAATAATGATAGTAATAATTATAATTATTATGAAAATGATGATAAAATAATTACCACAATAATTATCACTATCATTATCATTGTTGTCATTACAAATATTTTTACTAGTATCATTATCATGATCATTATCACTATCATCATCAATGTTTTTTTGTGTGTGTCATCATAACTAGTTATTAGAAAAAAAATCACTAAAAGGCCTATTTCCCCCAATTTTCCCTTATACAAACGCCTTCCTAATCTCCTTATCGCAGCCTCTTTATCGCCCAGAGGCAGCATTACTTAACAGAGCACAAAGGAATCGTGGGATAAACTCCGTCTCTCGCAACTGCCGAAGCCTGCGTTGGGTGCAGTATAAATGGAGAAAACCTTCCCCTGCTTTTCCCAGAAGACGATCTCACTCCAGGTGCAGAGGATCGAATCCCACGCGATCAGTCATGAAGGCTTTTGTTGCTATTGTGTTTCTTCAGGTAACTGCATATCATGTGGGATGTTTATACTCCAAGTGGCTATTTATGTCTATATTTATATACTGATACGAAAGAAAATGCATTATGTCCTTACATGCACACACACACACACACACACACACACACACACACACACACACACACACACACACACACACACACACACACACACACACACATATTATATATATATATATATATATATTATATTTATATTATATATATATATATATATATATATATATATATATATATATATATATTACATATATATATTATTATATGTATATATATATACAAAATAAATATTATATTATAATATGTGTATATATGTATATATACATATATATTTGTGTGTATTTACTAATATATGCACACACACACACACACATACACACACACAAACGCGCGGCACACACACACACACATATATGTGGTGTGTGTGTGGTGTGTGTATCGATTGTCATATCAGAATTTATCAATTCAACGATACATACCCCAAAAATAACTGGATATACTCCTCGACTGCTGCAAATACATAACACTATATTTCCTACAGGTCTGCCAGCTTGGACTGTGGGATCGAAAATGCCACCTTTAACAACGTAAACCAGTTCTGCAGATGTAAGTTGGTTGCTTGTTAATTTGTTATAGTTAATATTATTTTGTTATTATTGATATCATTGTAGTCATCTATTGTTATCATCATTATCATCATATATTCATTCCTTATGATGGTCCTCATCCTCAAAAAGACTTCAAGCATCAATAAAAAGCCAAACCCTGACGCTTTCAGTCTTACGAGGAACCGCGTGTATCCTGCAAGGAAGTGGGTGTCGACCTTCCAAAGCGGATCCGACAGCGGGCTCTTCAACAGGCTCTTCAACTACATCGACGGTCAAAATGAGGCAGGTATGTGGTCCATGATGGTGTTGTATGTGTGACATCGCTTGTACAAGGATGTAGGATGCGTGATTTATGAAGGTAGTTTTTTGAGAGTGATGAAATATTGTTGATGTTTATTACTGGTTCTGGTAAGGTTTGAAATTGATAATAATGTTTGCGATAACGATGGTGAGAGGTAATTATTATAATGATCGCCGTGATAGGAATAGGGATACTTAGTTATATTAATGATAATGAAAATAGCAGTAAAACCACAAGAATTAGGACAATAACAGTAATGAAAATGTTTATAGTGATCATGATGATAATGCCCTTGATAATCATGAATTGCACATGCATATATATCAGTATTATCGTTGTTCTATGTCCTATTATTGCCGTTATTGTTATTGTTGTTAATGCTATCATTATTCTTCCTAATTTTAAGACGTGTTGTTTCTCAGTAATAACGATGATTATTATATTACATGGTTATACATCCATAAACCTAGTTATTTCTTTGTCGTATAACTATAGTCACATTTGCCACACAAGCGGACTGTTCCGTGGTGGTTCATATTTTGATATTTTCATGAAAGAAATCCACTCGTCTATTTGGGAGTAGCGAGATAACCTTTCCTACCCCCCCCCGACCCCACTTTAAGCAGAGATCCATTTTATAAGTATTTTCTCATTAGCTTCCCCCAAACGCATGTTAATATTGGCCACCGGTTTAAACCGGATCCGAAAATTCGAATCCCTCCCCCTCCCCTTTCTTTCCTCCTTCCTCCTTCCCCCTCCCTCCCCTTCCCTTCCTTTCCAGATATACCCTATATCGTCACTTTCTTCACCACCAGGGATAAAGGTCGACATGACAGCCCCCATGTGACAACGCTCTTACGTCCCGTGTCAAGACCTTCGATGCGCGACCAACTACACCATGAGCTCTACGTCCCCGCCGGCCACCAGGACAGCCCCGCCCACGCCCACCAGCGCTGACGTGTGTACATCGTAAGACAGGCCGCAGCTGCACGTGTTCTCGCAGGTAATGTTTCGCTGCAATGATATTCATTTATTGTTTTATCTTCTTTCTGAATTTAAGACAAGTATGGAAAGTAGGAATTTTTAGAAGTACTGAATTATGGTTGACATGATAATATAATGATCTGATAAAACTAATTAACATCCTGAATTATTGGTGATAATATAGATTATATAAGATAGATATGGAGGAGGAAAATCAAATGAAGCAGAATCATTAAAAAAAATAAAATCATATAAGAAACGAGTAACAATGAAAACAATAAACACAAGCCCACTAATGACAATGACAAGAAAATAATAATAA